CAAGGCAATGGCTCATGGCCTTATGTAAGGCCCCCTGGTGGTCTAGGGATTATATAAAATGAGGTAAACAAGGCAATGGCTCATGGCCTTATGTAAGGCCCCCTGGTGGTCTAGGGATTATATAAAATGAGGTAAACAAGGTAATAAATCATGGCCTTATGTAAGGCCCCCTAGTGGTCTAGGGATTATATAAGATGAGGTAAACAAGGTAATAAATCATGGCCTTATGTATGGAACGGTTGAACCAATCGGTGTGGGGCTATACATGTGATAAACACATGATTCTCCATCTTGTCCAATCGGTAGATGTGTGATTATAGCCTAATTGTGTTATGTAATGTTAAGAAAAACTATAAAAGAAAGCTTGTAATAAACAGAATTGGATTCAGCTTGCAACCACATTGGTCGTGTGCTTTATCTGCTCCGCATGGAACCCCACACAATCCCAGATACCCAAAGCCTTAATCCTTTCTCACAGTCTGTAAGTATTTTGTGGAGCATCTTTATAGCTTTTGTCTGGAAAATAAATGAAGAAAACCAGCATTTTAGTAACTGTTGGCAAATCATACAATCATAGAATATCAGGGTTGGAAGGGACCTCAGGAGGTCATCTAGTCCAACCCCCTGCTCAAAGCAGGACCAAATCCCAACTAAATCATCCCAGCCAGGGCTTTGTCAAGCTTGATCTTAAAAACCTCTAAGGAAGGAGATTCCACCACCTCCCTAGGGAACCCATTCCAGTGCTTCACAAATCAAGTCAAGTCAAATCACCTCCTTGGCTGTATTTCGTTACCCCAGGCTATCTATCATACCTCCTCTTTTGCAGCTTCAGCCTCCCCCCGCGGGGGCTTAGCAGTTGGTTTAGGCTTGCCAGCTTTCTTCCCTTTCTTCCCTTTCTCTGCTTTGGTTTCTGGTGGTTTTGGCAAACGGTCCAGTTTTTCTTGAAGCAGGTCAATTAATCTAAAGTCAGCGTACGCCTTTGCAATGTCCAAAGTATTTTGGCCTTTTAAAAAAGAAAAACAAAAAGCAAACAAAGTTCATGATAAGAATCACTGTCAGTAGCTGTCAGTAGCCATAAAAATAAACAGTGGCACTGATCACCATAATTGCATAATGACACTGCAATTCACTGAACTCAATTAGAGATCAAGCCTGCTAACCATGAAACACATGAGTTGTGCTCACTCATGCTAGCAGGAAGGCGTTACTTTAATAACTTTAATAACATTTATTCTACTGGGAGTAGTTTCTGATGCATGACATCTATTGGACTGCAGACTGAAGCTAATGAGAATCTCCCACTACATCACGTGAAAACCAAGTAAACTAGCAGAGCTGCACTAGATCCCTCTCTCTCCTGCTGCTAGACAGTAATAACCTCTGTAGAAATTCAGATAATTTTTGTTGTTCCTTTTGCTAACGCAGAATAATATCTATCCCACTGCTAAACAGGAAGAAGCACATCAAACAAGTGCCACCTACAGAATTAAAAGTAAAAACACAATGGCCATTACAGGTGGTCACAATTAAAACCTTTACAAGTTTGCTTTACATAACTAGCATTCCCTCATTATTGTACTCACTAATAACCATTTGCAAATATGGAGCCACTACAGTCCTAGCAGAGTTGTTTTCAATTACACTCTATTTCACTGCAAAAAACGTTGTTAACCTAGAGTTAAGCTTGAATCTTCACATAAAGAATAAATAAATAAATAAAAAAAACCAAAATTCTTGAGACTCACTTTTTTCAAAAAGCACAAAACGACAGAAATCCTGAACAGAAAGTATCATAATGCCACTATATAAATCCATGGTATGCCCACACCTTGAATACTGCGTGCAGTTCTGGTTACCTCATCTCCAAAAAGGTACATTAGAATTAGAAAAGGTGCAGAGAAGGACCACGAAAATGATTAGGGGCATGGAACATTTTCCATACAAGGAGAGATTAAAGAAACTGGGACTGTTCAGTTTAGAAAAGAGATGACTAAGTGATATGATAGAGGTCTATAAAATCACAATTAGTCTGGAGAAAGTGAATAGGGAAGTGCTATTTACCCCTTCACGTAACAGAAGAATGAAATTCACCCAACGACATTAACAAGCAGCAGGTTTAAAACAAATGCACGCACAAGACAGTCAACCTATGGTATTCGTTGCCAGGAGATGTTGTGAAGGCCAAAAGTATAGTGGGGTTCAAAAATACTTAGAGAAGTTCATGGAGGATAGATCCAGCAATGGCTGTTAGGCAAGATGGTCAGGGACAGAACCCCATGCTCCGGCATCTGGCATTGGCCATTATCAGAGACAGGATACAGGGCTAGATGGACAACTGGTCTGATCCAGTATGGTCATTCTTAATGTTCTTAAAATGTAGGTTCCATGTAGTAAAAACTAACCCTAAACACTGGAAAATAGGAACATGCCTGCTAAATTTACTAAGACAACTTTCACTCTATCCCCAGAGCACCATGCTGACAACAACCAGAAATGTATTACAGCCGGATCCTCAAAGAACATACCACTTCATTTTATTTCTTTTACAATATGGTCCACCGTCTCAACAAAGCTTATGTGTAACTGAGAAAACCTCCAAACGTTCTACTGCCTTTTTAATCGAAAGTGACCACAAATAATGTAGATATTTACCTTTTCTGTTTTCCATCTGGACTTTCGCACCAGAATCAATTAAATATTGCACTGAGTCCAGTCTACAGCTCTCAATAGCTCTCATCAGTGGGGTGGCACTGTTGATTGTAACGGCATCTATCGCTGCTCCAGACTTCACAAGCAGTTCAGCAATGTCCTGTTGACCTGCATGGCAGGCATGGTGCAGAGGAGTCCACTTGAAATTGTCAGTTGCATTTACATCAGCCCTGTAAATAAATAAAACATAAGAACATAAGAATGGCCATACTGAGTCAGACCAATGGTCCATCTAGCCCAGTGTCCTGTCTTCTGACAGTGGCTGGTACCAGATACTTCAGAGCATGGGTTCTCAAACTGGGGGTCAGGATCCCTCAGGGGGTCATGAGGTTATTACATGGGGGGTCAAAAGATTTCAGCCTCCACCCCAAACCCCACTTTGCCTCCAGCATTTATAAAGGTGTCAAATATATTTTAAAAGTGTTTTTCATTTATAAGAGGGTTCACACTCAGATGCTTGCTATGTGAAAGGGGTCACCAGTACAAAAGTTTGAGAACCACTGCTTCAGAGGGAATGAACAGAATAGGGCAATTATCGAGTGATCCATCCCCTGTCATTTAATCCCAGATTCAAACCATTTCACCTCTAGGGACACCCAGAGCATGGGGTTATGTCCCTGACCATCTTGGCTAATAGCCATTGATGGATCTGTCCTCCATGAACTTCTCTAATAAAGAGGGACTGTGTACATATAAAGATGAATACACCTGCTGAATCTAAATTGATTGTTTCACAATTCCAGGTCCAGTAAACATTAAATGCATGAAACATAAAAAGCCTTTTCGTGGGTTTTCAACTCACTGTCATACAGCTTTGAAATATTTTAAAATACCTGATGTGGCTTATCGTGGAACTGAATGAATTTGGGCAGTTTGTATGGCTGATGACCACTTAACTAACCAAGAGCAACAAAAATGATTAAAGGTCCAGAAAACATGACCTATGAGGGAAGATTAAAAGAAATTGGGTTTGTTTAGGCTGGAGAAGAGAAGACTAAGAGGGGACACGATAACTGTTTTCAAGTACATAAAAGGTTGCTACAAGGAGGAGGGAGAAAAATTGTTCTTCTTAACCTTTGAGGATAGGACAAGAAGCAATGGGCTTAGATTGCAGCAAAGGAGGTTTAGGTTGGACACTAGGAAAAGCATCCTAACTATCAGGGTGCTTAAGCACTGGAATAAATTGCCTAGGGAGGTTGTGGAATCTCCATCATTGGAGATTTTTAAGAGCAGATTAGACGAACATGTGTCAGGGATGGTCTAGATAATACTTAGCCCTGCCATAAGCGTAGGGGATTGGACTAGATGACCTCTCGAGCTCCCTTCCAGTCCTAAGATTCCCATTTTGGAACAGCTGTACGGTGCCTACTCACATTACTGTGAGAATGCTTCCATAAGGAGGGGAACAATAGGGTTGTCAATGATTCATGACACTAATCAAACATGTCGCTTTTATAGTGCTGCTACCACTGTCCTTTGGCTTCCATTTGGACCACTTGGACCACCATTTCTAACCCTTATGGCTGTGTTTTACATTCTTTAACAAAAGCTCAGCATTCTTAGATTCTTTTTACCAGAACAATTCCGGTTGATTGTCACTTGAAAATCTGCCCTGAGTTAAGGGACTGCATGGTGCTCTGCTTCTTCAGAAGCAATGATCCAGGGGACAGGAGTCTGCCACTGAGCTAGACTAAGAGTTTACTTTTCTCATGTGAGTTGACTCAGTTGTGTTGGCTCATTCCGGGAGGCAGAGCCGCAGCCTCTTCCTGTCCCTCAGGGGCCTGCCTCCCTGTACAGGAAGGGGCGTAGTAGCCCTACAAAGAAAGGTTGCTCTCTCCACAGCATCCAGGATAGTGAGTAGGCACTTCACACTCCTGTACGGGCATACAGGGCAAGCAGTGATCTTGCCCCTAATGGAAGAGGAAGAGGAGATGAGATCGGCACTTGCAGTGGGGGTGGGATTCCCAGCTTGAGGAGACATATTCGTGCTAGCTCTGATCAAGCGAGCACGTTAAAAAAACAGAACGTAGGCATGGCAGCATGACTGGCAGGAGGGGCTGGCCACCCCACGTACATACCCAGCTGAGACCCTAGGTATGTACTTGGGACAGCTAGCCCCTCCCACCGCTTGCGCTGCCATGGTGACACACTATTTTTAAGCACGCTCGCTAGCGCATGTCTCTGCAAGCTGGAAATCACACCCCCAGCTCCAAGTGTAGACGTACTTGGAGAGGTAGAACGGGAGCTTGAGCTGTGGGTAGGAGAAGAAAGAAGTGTGTGAGGGGAGGAGGGAGGGAGGGAGTATGCGTTAAACACAGATCTTACTTCCATTGAAGCCCAGGGTAAAATTTCCATTCAATTCCAAAAGGAGCTGGATCAGGGCCTAAACTGAAGCAGGTCTAAGGGCATGTCTTCACAGCACAGTTAGCTCACGTGATCATTCAAGGGTTACTCTTTCCTCAACTCCCATCCACTCGCAAAAATCTCCTGGTCAAGTTAAATGGTGCTTTAAACCCTAGGATGAGTAACTTACAGTAACTCATCGCCCGATAATCCAATCACACTGTGTAACTCCAGTGTTGTTTTGCAGTGTGATCGCGCTCACTGGGGCCTGGTTACCTCTAGTACAGTAACTTGAGCTAACTGATGCAGTGAAGACAAGCCACACTAGATGTGAGGCAGAAACCCTTCCAGGTACTATCTCTAAATTCCAGTTACATCATTTATTTCAGTTCCCCTCCCAGTTTAACATTTTCATCTCTTCCACAGCCCAAAGAATTACAGCCTATGGACTCCAAATAGGGATGACAGTGAAAGGAGACATGAAAGAGAAGCGCATCCAATTATCAGATCATTTCCTTTGATTTTCTTTAGATTTTTCTCAACCGTTTTTTTTTTTAAGTCAGTGCACTCGATTTTATTTTGAACTAGTTACATCCTAAAAGGGATGTGGCCAAGTAATTTACTACCTAGATTTCACAGTACTTTAATGTATTCTAGAATCAAATAATATTCATGTTTGCTTTTAACACTAAACAGACTCTCTCTGATTATAAATTGCCAGACCTCTGGCATAAATCAGTGTAGCGCCACTGAAACTAGAGTATCTATGCTGATTTATACAAGCTGATGATCCATCACTGCATGCCTCTACAGCTTTAGGTTAGAAAATTACAGTATTTCTTTAATTATTCAGAGCTAGAAAGAATCAAGATTGATATTAAAAACTTCACACTGGTGTAATCGGGGGGGGAGGGGAGGGGGAGTGTTTTCAGTATTGTTTATCCAGTTTATCCTACACAGCAGTTCAGCAATGATGGCATGACAGAAGTGAAATGTGCAACTTGAGAGAAAGCATAAGAGTTAAGCTAGCAGAAAGAATAAAAATATTTTATTTTACTACAAAACAGAAATAATCAACGTTGCTGCAATATTGTTGACATAGCTGCTTCATAAAATGTGACCTGAATAGCGATTCTGATTGTGCCTCTACACTTTCTACATCTTATATTCAGACTTTTCCCTCCTTCTTCCATATTCCCTTCTGGCTAATTTCATTTTTTTAATATTTCCCATTCATATTTTTTGCATTTGCTTTTTATTTTACTCACTCTTAATTTTTTTTTACTTTTTGGAAATGAAAATTTACATGCAAATAACTGAATTAACAGAAATGCAGTGGTCTGAAGGGCTGTCTCCAGTCCAATGCAATTAGATCCAGGGATGTAGACACCTGTGTGCAAGCCGAAGTTAATGAGGCCCTGCATGCGTGCAGGGGTCCATCCGTGCAGGACTGGGACCCAGTTGATTATGGTACACCTCTCTCAGGTGGAGCTCAGAACAGGAGGGGCCCCATCAGCCACTTCTCCTGGCTTCTCACTTCACCAATGTTCCTTCGCAGTTATCGAAGGGGAGAAAGATGCTCCCTCCTGTTTTCAAACAAGCCACAAGCTCCTCCCACAATCCTCCCCAAGGCTGCTGCCTCTCAGAAGCCCCACTGTGTGGGTTTACAAGGAGTAAAAGACCTTTGAGAAGTTCTTCCCCAAAACCCCCTCACACACACACACACGCCTCAGCTACATCAGCTTCATTGTATCTGGGACTGTCCCATAGAGGTACAATGTGGAAACTGCTGAACTGAAGCCTCCATTAGAACATTAGTCCAGGAGCCCATACCAGATGCTTCACAGAAAGATGCAAGAAACCCCGCCGTTATAAGATGTTTCAGGATACGTTTCTTCCTAACCCACTCTGGCCAAAAGGTGACTTTATGCCCTGAAACACAAGGGTTTGCATTCCATCCACACGTCTTTTAAATTCTTTACTAATGTAGTCCTAGATGGTCTTGTAATCTATATAAATGTCTAATCTTGTTTAAAATCCCGCTGAAATCTTGCTCTCAGTGACATCTTGGCAATAAGTTCCACAGGCTAATCGAGTGTTGTTTGTTTACCAGGTTTAAATTTGCTGGCTTTCAGTGTCATTGGATAACACTTGATCTGGTGTAAGAAAGTGGAGGAGGGGAAGTGCTCAATCATCTCCATAACATTCATTATTTTATGCATCACTATCATTTCCTATTCATCTCCTTTCTGGAGTCAATGAGCCACATGCCTTCCAGTCTCTCTTCATATGCAATATTTTCCATGCCTGCAATTATTCTCTCCATCTGTTCACTGAACCCTCTCTGCTCCTATTTTATCCTTTTAGGGACAAGCTGATCAGATCTGAACAGAGTATTCCAGGGGAGGGCATAACGTTGATTTACACAGGACTTGTATGTTAGCACTGTCTCTTGCTGTATTTTTTTAATCAAACGGATTTATAAACCTGCTCCAGCAAAACCGTGCAAATAAACCACAGCACGCACTGCCGATTTATGTTCAAACTGCACCATTTTCTAGAACCTTAGATGAACATACAGAACACTTTGTATTCCACTCGATATGGTTTGTTGAAAGACCATGTTATAAAAAGGAGCCCAGTTAGATTCCCATAGCAATATTTTCACCATGTACTGAAATTCTATCTTGCCGAAAGGTGCAAAGCTGACATTTACTATGGCACTTTACCTCTGAATTTCCTGTTTTTGTCTGTTTAAAATCCCAAAATTAACATTGCTTTACCATGTTACAAGGTCCAAATGTTAAAGATAAGTGGCAAAACTTATCCTAGCTGTAACTCCATTGAACTCAATGGAGGTTTGATGAAGTCAGTGAAGATTAATTGGCCCAATGAGCATAACCACTAGATCCCAAGAATGCACAGGCTTAAACATGTACGTAACTTTACAAATGTCCCACTAATGTTAGTGGAAGTGCTGAAATGCATTAAATTGCATGAGTTTAAGCCTCTTCAGGATTGGGGCCTGTAGGCAAAAGAGGCCTTACTGGAGCCCTACACACAACTAACAGTAAGAACCAAAGGCTGTGAACCAGAGGAAGTCTGGCCCTGGCAAAATTTCAATGCACCAGGTATTAGCTAACACCAAGTAAGCACATTCCAGGCCTGAGAGGATGGTACAGGAACACCCAGAGTTCTCAAGTAATTGCATGAACACATTCCCAGGAGATGGGTTGGGGACAGACAGACCTCTCGTAAGATATTGAGGGAATGACAGGATAATGGATGAGGATGTTTTGTTAAAACTAGCAGGTGCAAGGTACAAGAAAAGAATGAAAAGCATATGGAATGTAATACGTAACGTCTTTATATCAATGTATAAAAGGAGAAGACATAGGAGGGGCATCTTTGTGCTGGCCTAGGGGATCGGATCCTAGCATCCTGATTGAGCTGGTACCATTGTCACAGGCATACATATAGTGGTGTACCTGTAGCTCCTATGGGGCACTGAAACTGTGCTTTGTCGTCAACAACGAACCTGGCTGAGCGCCTTCAACACAGAACCGAGCCCATGGTCTTTATGAACAACATCGAGGTCTGCTGAGTCAGCAAGCTGCTGGTGAAGCTGACAGATACAGGAGCACGTGCCAGCCTCAGCAAGGCTTCACTAACAACACAGCCTAAGATTGTAAATAACTTAGGGTGACCAGATGTCCCAATTTTATAGGGACATTCCCGATTTTGGGGTCTTTGCCGTCTGGTCACCCTAAAGTAACTGCTCACCCTTGGAAATGGGAATTGCTACATGTAGAGAGTAATGCTAATGTAAATGTCATTGTCTTTAAAATTAAAAAAAATAAAGGTTTTTTAAAAACCCATCACACTTGTGTGTAGCGATTTTTGCATATAACATAACATACTGCTCTTTTGTTCTCCTCTTTGAACAGACACCCTGTCGTGCTCTGGTATAGCCCTACAGTCATTCAGATAAATGCCTAAGGGAACATCTTCCAAATTACTTTAATGAATCGTTAACTATCATTCAAAATAAAAATCCTACCTTTTATTATGAAGATTTCCCTAGTGTGTCTGCTGACTACACTCTGCTGCAGAACTTTTAAAGTGGTGAATATATTACATAGCAGTGTCTGACTATAGCCTTAAGCCTGATCTACTCAGCCCATGTGTCAGCCCGCTGTGGCTGTAGAATAGAAGTAATGCTTTTACGCACCAGTCTCATTCACACCTTTGCCTCTAAAGGCAGTGGGAATCAGGAGATCCCAACTCTGCCACAGACTGCTTGTGTGACCTTGGGCCAGTCACTTAGGCCAAAGCATCCACTAATTTTGAATGCCTCCATTTTTGGAATGCCCAATTCGGGACACGCCAAGGCTGATTTTCAGAGGTGCTGAGCACCTGCAGATCCAATTGACTTCAACTGGATATGTAGGTACCTGGCACTTCTGAAAGACCTAAAACTCAATTAGCAACACTTCTGAAAGACCTAAAACTCAATTAGCAAACACTTCTGAAAGACCTAAAACTCAATTAGCAAACACTTCTGAAAGACCTAAAACTCAATTAGCAAACACTCTGAAAATGTTGGCTTTAGCCAACTTTGAAGATCACCTTTAAGTGCTTCTGTTTCCCCATCTTCAAAAACAAGGATCATAACAACAATACCCTACCTCATGGGCGTTATGAAGCTAAATTCATTACTGCTTGCAATGCTTTGATTGTACAGTGATAAACACTATGCGAATTCTTAAGAATAAAGTTAAATATCTCCAAGTTTTTTTTCTTTTGTGTTTAAGTGACTATCAAATATATACACTGTGCAAAAACAACAAAAACAACCCTCCCCACAAAAACTTACCCCTTCTCTAGAAGATATTTCACGGCATCCATGTTTCCACTTCCACATGCAGCCATCAAAGGAGTTTTATAATATACATCTCTAATGTCCACTGGAACCCCCTCTTCAAATGCTTTTTTCAGTGACACAATGTCTCCTGCTTTAGTAAGATAGTTAATCTTGGTGTAAGTCTTCTCCGGCTCATCAATGTACCACGCAGAGTCATCCTGCAAAGGATGTTCAGGGGGGTGATCCCGATTAAAGCGGTTACCATCCGTCACATTCTGATAGGTCTCAATCATGTACATAGGGGGCCCGCCGTCTATTCGGCGTGGGTACAAGCTCTCTGGAATGACGCAGATGGGCACGGGGATGGAGAACTTGCCTTTCTTGGCTTTTCCTTTCTTCCCTTTCTTCTTTTTGGGTCCAAAAGACGAAATAAGATAGGCTTTTTGCAAGTATTTGGAACCTTTAAAGAACTCTTCAATGTTAATCCCCCCAGCACGAGACTTATCATGTGCCTGGGCAACGGTTTGTATTAGTTCAGCATCCACAAAATCACACTTCTCCTGAATAATTGATGCAAAATCATCTTTGCTTATTGTTCCATCACCTCTGTCCACCACCTCAAATGCCTCACGAAGGGCTGTCTGGTGTTCTAAGGACCAATCATGCAACTTCATCGCCCAGCGTGGATTGTCTTCCTTCGGTCCAGGTTTGGAGATTTTAGCATGGAGTCGTTCAATTTTGCGCAGTTCCTTTGATGCTGCTTTAAAACCACCTTCTTTGGCAGTCATTCTTGGGGTCTTTGTTAGTAGGTTCTTCCATTTAGGATCACAGCCTAAACATACAGAAATCGTTTTACTGAAAAAACAAGATGGTGTATAAACTAGCTGAGTCTTAATTCAGATTTGCTGCAAACTGCTACAGATAATTATTAACAGGGTCTATAATTTTATGCTGTCTGGGATCTACACAGAACTATTAAATTGCACTTTTTAACTAGGGAGTGGGATAGTTATTAAACACAAATACACAAAAACTACACTGAAAGTATTAAAGATTTTACGTAAACCAATAAAAGAAGCCATGAAGAGCAAAGCTAAGGATGAAATACTATTTTTAACTCACCATTCTGTACCCAAGAATTGAAGTTTGGCTATGTGTGGTGCCATTACTTAAAATGTTTGGACCTCATGAACAGAGCATGAACAGATTTTGCAGGTTCATGTGGAAACAGTGAAATTCCAGGTGTGTCACTGACTTTGATTTTAGTTAGTGTGACCACAGCTTCTTTGAGGCCAGATCCAATGCACATGGCGATTAAGGGGAATCATTCCGTTAATTTCAATAGGCTCTGGATCAGTCCCTTTAAGTGATACAATGATTATTTTCCTATGAAATGTAAAAGTTTCAAAAGCAGCTGTGGACACTCACTTCTGAAACCCATCCCAATGCTAATGGAGTATCATTCCCACCTGTGTATGCCTAAATACTTAGCCCAGCGTAGTTTTAAATGACTCAAAGCTATTGAGCATCCACGGCCTCCCTTGAGAATTATTCTACAGGCTCACAGCCACGCAGTTAGGTAAATTTTCCTGACAATCTGTATTTGTCAGTGGATTAAATGCTCATTACAAGTGCAACTGTGACAGTTCTGGAAAGTCAAATCCTCCATTTATAGGGATGTGAAATCCTGTACTTAGCACAGAAGACAAGCAAAGATTTGTATGATCTATGTAAATACACATTTTTTGTTTACCTCTTTGCCCTATAAATTTACAGCAATCCGCAAAACCCCCAGCAGCAGCGTAATGAAGTGGCGTGTTCCCATTCATAGCAATGAGCCCCACATCTCCATTATAAGCTGAAATAATTCTTAGGATCTAGAAAAGCAAAGTCAATGCCATTAAAAACCCTGCACTAAAATGACTCGGATTTGTTGGTTTTTAACAAAAAAATGTTAATAATTAAAATTGGGGCTGTCAATTAATAACAGTTAGAGTGACCAGATGTCCCAACTTTATAGGGACAATCCCGATATTTGGGGCCTTTTCTTAGTCCACGTCTACACTACCTGCCAGATTGGAGGATAGTAATCAATCTATCGGGGATCGATTTATCACGTCTCGTCTAGACGTGATAAATCGATCCCCGAATCAACGCCCATACTCCAGCTCGGCAGGAGGAGTCGACGAGGGAGCCGCAGCGGTTGACTTGCCGCCGTGAGGACGGCCAGGTAAGTCGAACTAAGATACTTCGACTTCAGCTACGCGAATAGAGTAGCTGAAGTTGAATATCTTAGATCGATTCCCCCCACCTAGTGTAGACCAGCCCTTATATACAGGCCTATTACCCCCCCACATCCACTGTCCCGATTTTTCACACTTGCTATCTGGTCACCCTAATCACAGTTAACTCAAGCGATTAGCTCAAAACAGATTAACTCGATTAAAAAATTAATTGTGATTAATCATAGATTTAATCGCACTGTTACACAATAATAGAATACCAATTTAAATTTATTTATTTTTTGTTTCTCTACATTTTCAAATATATTGATTTCAATTACAGTGCAGAATACAAAGTGTACAGTGCTCGCTTTATATTATTATTTTTTATTACAAATATTTGCACTGTAAAAAAGATAAAAAATAGTATTTTTCAATTCACCTCATTCAAGTACAGTAGTGCAATCTCTTTATCATGAAAGTGCAACTTACAAATGTAGATTTTTGTTACATAACTCCACTCAAAAACAAAACAATGTAAAACTTTAGAGCAGGGATAGGCAACCTATGGCACGCGTGCCAAAGGCAGCACGTGAGCTGATTTTCAGTGGCACTCACACTGCCCGGGTCCTGGCCACCGGTCCGGGGGCTCTGCATTTTAATTTAATTTTAAATGACGCTTTTGAAACATTTTAAAAACCTTATTTACTTTACATACAACAATAGTTTAGTTCTATATTATAGACTTATAGAAAGAGACCTTCTAAAAACGTTAATATGTATTACTGGCACGCGAAACCTTAAATTAGAGTGAATAAATGAAGACTCAGCACACCACTTCTGAAAGGTTGCCGACCCCTGCTTTAGAGTCTACAAGTCAACTCAGTCCTACTTCTTGTTTGTCTCAGTGATTGGCTGAACAAGTTTGTTTACATTTACGGGAGATAATGCTACCCACTTCTTATTTACAGCGTCACCTGAAAGTGAAAACAGGCATTTGCATGGCACTGTTGCAGCCAACGTTGCAAGGTATTTACGTGCCTGATATGCTAAACATTCGTATGCCCCTTCATGCTTCGACTTGTAGACTGCACGATCTTTTGTTTATCTTTTTTACAGTGCAAATATTTGTAATAAAAAATAATAATATAAAGTGAGCACTTCACACTTTGTATTGTGTTGTAACGGAAATCAATATATTTGAATATGTAGAAACACATCCAAAATATTTATAATATATTTAAATTGCTATTCTATTATTGTTTAACAGTGCGATTAAAACGGCGATTAATCACAATTAATTTTTGTAATCGTTTGACAGCCCTAATTGAAATACTGTGTAATCTATGCCCACACTGTGCAGCTCTCTGTCCCTCTCCACTGATTAATCTACATATAAAAGTTTATGAGGTTGCTACAGTTATGTGATTCCTTAGCCAGGCAGTAGGCGCTTGTGCTTTTAAATCTAGAGTGCCCACGTTCAATCTCTATTACCACCAACCCATCCAAGGCTGCTGTGTTTTAAGAAGCAATTACCTGTGATAGCTAGAACAATACTGCTACAGTAAGTGACCTAGATCCAAACAACATGGTACTAATGGGATGGGCATTGCCTTCAGGCTTCTCTATAGCAGAAATGTAGAGATCTTTGGGGTAGGAATGGGCGGGGGGGGGGGGGAGTTGCTGCTGATCAGTTCCCCCATCTATGTTGAAATTACAGGGGGCAAATCCACAGCTGTCCCGAATAGGGTTACCAGATGTCCCAATTTTATAGGGACAGTCCCGATTTTTGGGTATTTTTCTTATATAAGATCCTATTACCCCCCAACCCCCATCCCGATTTTTCACACTTGCTGTCTGGTCACCCTAGTCCCGAACATGCCTTAGAGACAACAGGGAAGAAAAGAAGTTGCTCCCCCATCACTGGGCATCTACAAGCAACACCCCCTTCATGAGAGACAGCTAGGACACACAGCCTTGTGAGACCCCTCTGCCCTGGTGGGCCCACCCGCATAAGACATAAATAGGAACATGCATTTATAGGTACCTCACAGAAAACGGCTGCAGATTTATAAGAGAAATACCATCATTTCTAAATTCCCTTCGATGGTTTAATAGAAGCCATTCATGAATACTGATTTCTCTGATTAATCAGCAAAGCTGCTTGGCTTGGGGGAAAAAAACAGGCTGGGTAGCTTTGAAGTTAAGTTTCAGTACTATTAACAAGATACCTCAAAAAAGCCTCCCTTGGCGGCAAAATGTGCAGCATTGTGTCTTTCGTTGTCAAAGACGTTAACATCTCCTCCTCTTTCAAGTATGCCACGCACCACCTCTATCACGCCTTCCCTTGCCGCTTCCATTAAGGCAGTGCGACCAGTAGCCTGCAAATTCAACAGCTTTTTATGTTCGTTTTCGTGTTCGACAGCACAAGCCAGTGTCACAAGGGGATGGAAGAACTGAAGGCCTCCTTTATGCAGCATAAAGAAGCAAAGAAGGGTGGGTGCAAGCCCAATAATTTCAAAAGTCTTCTGCAGATCACCTTTAAGAACCTAATCCTACAGTCTTTAAAACACGTGAGCAGTCCCACTGTCTTCTCTTGAGTAAAAGCTATAGGATCAAGCCACCTAAGCCCAATCCTACAAGCAACTACACAAGTAGTTTTACTCAAGTGAGTAGTCCCTATGAAGTCAATATGCCGACTCACTTGAGGAAAATTACGCAGAGGCATGTTTGTGGGATCAGCCCCTAGATATTCAGAAAAGCTCAGCTCAGCCATTTTGGGTACTTCAACGAAGTGCTCCTCACCCAGCAACTGACATTGTTCTCATACACTCAAAGGGCTTGTTGGATCTTGCTTAGGAGTTCCACAACTGTGGATACAGACTTAAAACAGAGTACCATTGTTTTTCCATGTCACAGATGACCTAGAGAGGGACACGGGACCATAGGCTCCTTCAGTCCAGTGGTTCTCAACCAGGGGTATGTATATCCCTGGGGGTACGCAAAGGTCTTCCAGGGGATACGTCAACTTAGCTAGACATTTGCTTAGTTTTAGAACAGGCTACATAAAAAGCACTAGGGAAGTCAGTACAAACTACAATTTCATACAGACAATGGCTTGTTTATACTGCTCTATAGACTACAGCCTGAAATGGAAGTACAATATTTATATTCCAATTGATTTGTTTTATAATGATATGGTAAAAATGAGAAAGTCAGCAATTTTTCAGTAATATTAAGCTATGCCATTTGTATTTTTATGCCTGATTTTGTAAGCAAGCAGTTTTTAAGTGAGGTGGAACTTGGGGGTACGCAAGACAAATCCGACTCCTGGAAGGGGGACAGTAATCTGGAAAGCTTGAGAGCAACTGTTCTAGCCAATACCAAGAACTTTTTGCAAAATGTGCCTGAGAACCACTTGTGCTAGATGTGTCCATGTGGTGAGATGGACGTGCAAGGGAAGACTGATTCAGTGCACCAGTTCTGTCAAGGAGGAGGTGGTTTATTAGAAGATGGCAGGGTTTGGGGAATTCCACCAGTATTCTTATATCCCCAAGCAAAACTAGCATATGCTAGTACAAACATCAAATTTATGCATGACATTTGTACACATTTTGTTACAACAGAATATACACTCTTAGGAATGTCGAGCTTTAGGTGACCCAGAGACCTTTCCTTATGCATAGCATATCTTCTTAGATAGTCAGTGACACACAGTCTGCCCCTTACTTGCTACGGCAGACCCGCATGTTGGAGTGTGGCTTTCTGCTGGAATTCCAGTAAGATAACCACAGGATAGGGCTGTGCATGACGGGTTTACTGATGCACCAATCCAAGTGTGTACTGCTATGCACCAATCCAAGTGTGTACTGCTACCTTTCTGCATAGCTGCCTGCGCATTTTGTCTCTTTCAAATGTGTTTATGTGAAAGGGAAATATAGTCTAGAATTATTAAGACCTTGTGCTGTTGTTCTTTACACCCCAGAGGCTGGCACATTTCAGTGGAGTCATATGTATACATTTTGTGAAGCACTCTAATATAAGAGATGCTCCAGTCAGGTAAAGTATTATTAGCTGACCAGAGGTGGAGGAAATAGAATCTCCTTCCCCTGGGCATCACCCCGGACATGCAAGCCAGGCAGTGCGACTCTCTTCCTTTGAAAATTATTCTGTACAAGCTGGGGCCAGACGGCGAGTCACAGTGAATAGGAAACTATTTGTCCGAGGGAGTGGTGCAGATACTGACTGAGCAGAAAATAATTCCCTACGGCTAAGCTCTGGTATTAAAATGTTCCTCATTGCCTATCACTGTTAGGAGGAGGTGCCAGGGATCCTTTTGTCTTATTAAAAACAATCATTAAATTTTGCATTGCTTTTTGACCCAATAAAAACAAGCAGATTAACTCAATAGTTAATAAGTAAAGAAATTTGATTGTTCATCCGTTATTCTGGTCTATTTCAAAGGGTATATTTGGAAGTAGCTGCTGTATTGCTAGCAAGTGGCTGGAGTGATTATGCTTGTGCAAATTCCAGGCAGGCTGAATGTGTCTTGTGGGGCTCAGAGAGTTTACTGTGGAGAAATGCTATTAAGATTTTTTTTTGGGGGGGGGGGGAGGAGAAGAGAGGCATAGCCAGCAGGTCCCTGTTACAGCTTCAATCCACCAGCTGGTACTAAGGGAGAGCAGGGCAATATCTCTAAGCCATTCCCTATGGAGTGTCTTGCACCATTTGTGGTACTAACACTCTGCTTTCTTTGCACGCTGGGGCTCATATCACCCACAAACAGTAAAGCCATTCCAATTGGAGGCCCCCACACCTTAATAAAGAGGGGCAGCTGGAAGGGCACTCTCTGTGAGTGGCTTTTGCACTCACTTCCCCCTCTTGGGCTGAAATAGCCTGAGTCTCTTGACCTTTAATGCATGGTCATCTTGGGAGACAAAAATGCGGTGAGGGACAGTGTTTGTGGGCACATGAGGAATGTCTGGACTGGTTGACTTTAACTAGAGGGATGAGGATAAGCTCCTGGATTTGTGGTTACCTGAAACATATGGAACGTTGAGCACTGGTCTGGCTTTTTTAAAATGTCTCATTGTACTGGATAAACAAATAAATGACCTGGATTATGGCTGCCCCTTGCAAACCTGTGCAGATGGAAAGGAGGGTAAAGGATACGGTTTCTTGTAACATCTCACTGCCTTGGTTCTCATGCAGGGCCGGCCACATTATGTTTCTAATTTGATTGAATATAATTTCAACATTTAAAACAATAGACCAGATCCCTCGGCCAGTGTAATGGACACAGCTTCACTAAAGTCAACGGGCAATAGCACTTCACACCATTTGGGGAGATGACCTGGTTGTTTTTACACACATAAATAATTGGATCACAACCTACCAAAATCCAAAACAGGAGATAAATGATCCAGGTGTGGGACCTCAGTAAAATAAAACAAGAATGATGGAGAGGTGCTATCAGTGGCAGTCATCTGTGCATTGCCCAGAAGTTAACCACCTGATGTGTCTCATTATTATTTCAATTTAAAGATTTATGGTCATATATTGTAGTGGTCTTACAACTGCATTACAATAGTATGTATACGTATTTAATTATAGGAATATTCCTACTAGGTTTATCGCATTGGGGTCTGCTCCTCTTTCCAAAAATTTCAGACATATTTCCTTAATCTCATGTGCTTGTTCACAGGCTTGTAGGAATACTGGCTTCCCATCAATAGTACAGTTGTTAACATCTGCGCCGTTTTCTAAAGCAATCTGAACGCAGCGGCAGTGCCGTTTCGTAGGTAAAATACAGTAAAACAAAATGCCTGGAACAAAAAACAAAATGGTTGTTAAGCAACAAACGGTAGGGGGCTGAATCAAATAGTAGGAAAGGCCCTGATTCAGGAACCTGATCTGCACAGACAGACCCCTTGAACCAGTATAGAGACCCATTCATTTCTCAGGCATATGGGTCTGTCCATTTGAATCAGATTACGGGATGAAGACTTTAGAAATGAACACATGAAATGATATTTGGGATTTCAATGGGACCACTTGTGGAGAAAGCAATATTCAATGAGAGTGAGGGTATCAGAATCTGACCCTTAATAGTTAGGCACATATAAAACTAACTATTGGAGAGAGCTACAACCTAAATGCCTGATCCAGTAAAAATGTCTTCACTTTCAACACCACAAAAGCTCTTAAGAAAAATGGCTTTGTTGGGTTGTATGTGTAGTCAACACCCACCCTGGGTGGAATCTTTGGATGTTCAGTACCAAGCCACAGACCTTTGCTACATGAGCCAAAGAACAGTCCTGCAGCAGAAGACTCTTACCCGCTATGTTGACCAGCCACTAGAGGGGGACAAAACACACATAGCGAGCACATGATATGCGGTGAAAAAGCAGGATTGCAATTTGTGTTGATTCTGGCTTCAAAGATGGTTTTTCTGTCTAATATGATTAAGCGGGACTCTTTTTACCTTTTCCTTCATTATCAACCATGGTCATGTCTGCCTCGGCCTTTGCTAGTTTATCCAAGGCTAAGTCATGTCCTAGCTCGGCGGCTTTCATTGCAGGAGTGCGTCCCATTCGGTCTTGAACATCTGGATGAGCTCCTTGCTCCAGCAGGAAGTTGCACATGTCTATGTCATTTGCGATGCACGCCAAATGAAGGGCACTATCTCCATCGACAGGCTCTGTGAAATTAATGAGTTCTGGGAATCCAAGTTTGGTCAGCTTCTCGATCTGCCTCTTGTCTTTCTGGCGAACACATTGGAGAACTTTATAAATCTGCAAATTTTCAAGTCTTTTGTCTGTCAAAGACATCCTTGATCAACTGAAGCTAATCTTCTTCAAAGGGAATGCTTTCTGGGCAAAAAAACACAAAAAAACAGGTGTGAAGTTATTCTCCTTACAAGCCATAATGGGTTTTGATCCAAATCACATTTAGGTCAATTAAAGTTTTTCATTTTGACTTCAGAGGCCTCTGAGCAACCTCATTATTCTTGATTTTATATGTGCATATGCATACAGGTATATATTATATACACACCTCTGTATAGACACACACAGAGACATGCATGCGCACATAACACTTCGAAAATCATTCGAATCGCAGCCACTGGGAGCTGCAGGGGTGTCGTGCCTGCGGACGCTCAATGGAAACAAAATGTCTTGCGGCCCACCAGTGGATTACCCTGATGGGCCACGTGCCGAAGGTTGCTGACCCTTGTACCAACAATAATTTAAAGAATTACCTTTCCAGAGGATGTGGCTTTCTCCAAACTAAATATCACTAGGAATTAGATTATTATTTATTTATATTTGTATTACCGTAGTACTGAGCAGCCCCAGTCACGGACCAGGACTCCATGGTACTAGGCGCTGTACAAACACGAACAATAAGATATTCCCTGACCCGGAGAGTTTACGATCTAAGTAATAACCTGTTTAGGCAAATGCTTGGATTTAAATGTTAAATTCTATTCTGTGTCGGTTCTTATACCATCCTTGTTACCACAGCATCCACGCACCACCTGATAGCATACTAAGCAAAAAGACTAACGTCAGTCATGTGTGGTTTGTTCTTTCCTCCTCATACATATTGCATCTGATTATTCTGTCAAAGGGAATAAGTGCAGTCTCTTATAACAGACAATCATGAATGTCTTGTATTGATGCGAGCTGCCTCCCAGGGTTCTCACCCCAGAATGAAGAGAACTCAGAGGTGCTCTCCATTCCAGATCACCAGGGAAGCTGTGACCCACAAGGAAGTTCAGCTTGGAATGTTAACAAGTCACTGGGAGCAGAGACTCTACACAGCAAGTCAGCACTGGGGCCTGGCTGCTGGGCGCAAAGGGGTGTGAGCTCTGCAGGGATGGTGTCTGAAGATGCTAAGGGGAACAGGGGGAAGCCCCTTGTAATTTTCAGTATGAATTCTTTGCCTGTAGTCCTGTTCAGTTGCCTGTTGGCATATGATGATAGGGAAGACTGGATTCACTTTTTAAAAATCTGCCATGTATTAGTGGAGCCTTTCTTCTCCACCCACGTTGTTGTTGATTTGCATTGTGGTAATGCTTAGAGACTCTGGTCACCCTCCCCTCTCCCCCTGCAAAAAAAAGTGTACAACTGTATTATTTCAAGGCACAATTGTGCCTGGCCTTGTGCTGGTAGCTGGGTGGAGGGAGTGGGTGCAAAAGAGTCCTTCAGCTGCTTTGTGTGTCCCTACCTCTGAGCAACAGCCAGACACAATCACAGTCCCTGCTCCTTCTTAGTGCTCTGGGGGTAGAAGACATCCCAAAATGGACAAGGAAGGGTGGGAAGGTTCCACCCTGGCCAGCATAAATGGCTCCTCACCAAGAGAAGAGCATGCTGTAACACCCAAAGGGATGGTGCAGACTGTGCATTCCCCGTGTGCGCTGGTGAGTTTGGGAGGCACAATCCCACCAAGAGCTCCCCTCTAGAGCAATGAGACTCCCCATGTGAGCAGCGCCTACTGGCTCTGTGATTAGCTGTGCCCTCATGGAACCATACTGATCTCCCCAAGGGTCTTCAGCAGGGTCAGAACCTTGCTAGCCACAGCAGAGACCTCTGCTACTTGAACTAGTGGAGTAACTGAAAGCAATAATGGGCTGTCATACTGGACGTGGACCAACCATTAGGAAGGGATGAGGCACATTTTGCCAGTGGTTTCACAGATATTTGTTGACAGATTTGGGAAATAATGGGTTCCATTCCAGGCTCTAAAAGGGAGCATGCGCCAATGGTCACAGACCCTTCTGCTCCTCTCTCCTCCACAAAGGCTGATCACTTCTGGGCCCTGTCCCCTTCAGCCTGTCTCTGTCCCAGTCCTGTAATTCCCTCTCAGCTCCTCATCTCAGTCTTCCTCCACCAGCTCCTTGTCCCTGTCTCCCTCTCCCCAGGCTACTTATCTGAATCCCCACAAACCAAAGCTCCTCCTCGCAGGCCCACTCTCCCACACCAGGCTCTTCAGCCAAGTCCCAGTCTTTCCTCCACCCCAGCTTCCAGTCCCAGTCTCCCCCCAGGTTTCTTCTTCCTAGTCTCCTTGTCCAATCAGTCTCAGTATCCTACTTCTCCATGCAGCTCCCCCTCTCCCTCCAGGCTTCTCATACGAGTTCAGTCTCCAGCAACTTCTTCCTTCTCCATGCTCCCTGGGAGTATGAACAGCACAGGAAAAAGACTCCCTGCTTTCAGTTCTAGTGCCCAACCTCCTGCAAATGCAAGGAAAGTCCTGCTTGGCCTCTGCATCCCTAGGGTGGAGCATGTCCCAGTGCAGATTAAACCTTCAGAGAACTTAACTGCCAAACTAACATCACTACTGAGCATGTGCAAACTGATTTTTTAGAGGATTATAATTTGGCCAATTTTAGCAGATTTTCACAACCGCCTCAGAAGGCACACCCCTGACACTAGCACAACGTCCCTGACAAATTTCAAATCCCTGCTCCAAAGCATGGAGGAGTTGGAATTTCTCGTGAAAATGGTTGTACAATTTTTTTTTTAAATGGGGAAAAAAACAACATTTTCCCCTAAACTCATTCTTGGAAATCTCTGAACCATTTTTGCTGAAACTTTTCTAAATAATTCAGTTTCAGACAAACACTCAGCATGGAAAATTCCAGCCCAAGCAGTTACAGTTTGTCAAAGTTATAAACAACTGAAAACAGGGTACTAAAATGGGAAGTGTCAGGGAACGTTAAAACATGGGTGATGTTACCAACACCAACTCTAATTCTGTGCAATTTGCAACTATACTGGTATTGATTTTTTAAAAATATTGTTCAGCATCTTGCTAGTCTGTGTTGTTAAGCAAATATTAGGAACTGAACTCATTACATAGTTTTAATCGGTTTTACCTGTGACATATTATTCTTTGTTGGAAGGAAGGACTGATGGCATAGCCTTGAGCCAGGTACACTCTGGCAAACATCTCACATAGCTATGCCAATAAACCTAAATCCAAACTTGTAACACTTCCGTCTCTCTTGAAAAACAATGAGGGAGACACTAGCTAATGGTGCCAGATTCCATCGTGGTTTTGTGATGGACTAGGCTGAGAATCAAAAAACATTTTAATTTCAGTTTAATTATTTTTCCAGTGCACCCATTAGTAGGAAGATCCTTTTAAGCAGATTCCTGTTTCGTCCTGGAACTTGCCAAACTAGCTAGATGCACAAGGGGAAGCTTTTCAAGGGCACACAAGTGTGAGAGATGATGTCCAACTCCCCCATTCACTGACTTTCCATGGAAGCTGGGGGCCTAATTGCCCCTTATGCCCTTCAAAATCTCCCCCACTGTGTTTCTCAAAGGCCATTATCAACTATAAAAATATCACACCGCTGCCTGATTTTTTCCCCAGTTATTGTTACCAGTAACACCTAAGGCACAAACCTGCAAACACCTACATACGCACTTTGTTTTACTCACAAACATAGTCTCAAGGATTACAATAAGTCTTTGCTAGAGCAAGGCTTTAAGAGTTGAGAAAAATGTTTTTTCCTCTGTTTGTTTAGTGTGTGCATGTGTCAGCACTTTGTGTATATTGTTGGCTCTTTACCCATTGTTTGTGTGGGAGACACACCCAGCAACAACAACAAAAAGAAACACACACACAGAAAGAACCCTGAAAAATGTAAAACCACAAAAATTGGCAGAGAAATTCAGGGACATGTGCAGTCACTGAAACTACTTTTACTCCTTTTTTAAAAGCTAAATTTCAAGTTGACAATGTCCCTTTTAACAATGACTGTTCACAAATCAGTAAACAAAGTTATCACCAACTTTGTATTTTAAAAAAATAGGCATTTTAAAATTTCTAATTAGTTTACATACTGATAGTGTATCTAAGCATGAGCCTTATATTATGACATAAAATAACTTAATATGGTAACAGTACCCCATGTGTTTATTGCTTTATACAAATAAAGACTCCATTTGACTCATGTTTAATGGGAGATGAGCAACAAAGTCTGATGAAAATTTATCCCAGTACAGCGAATAACGACAAGGCTACAGTCAGGGCCGGTGCAACCATTTAGGCGACCTAGGTGGTCGCCTAGGGCGCTAGGATTTGGGGGGGCGCCATTTTCTTCGGCAGCGACCGCAGCGGCCGGATCTTCGGCCGCCCCGGTCGCCGCCGGCATTTAGGCGGAGGGAGCTGGGGCAGTGGAGCACGGGGAGGGCCGCCTGCAGCAAGGGGAACTCCCCTTGTGACGTGCTGGGGCAGGGGAGGGGACCCAGCGCCAAGCACCTTAGGCTCCGCAAGCCTGGGAGGCGGGAGAAGTGAAGCAGCGACAGTGTGCTCGGGGAGGAGGTGGGGCAGGGTGAGCGTGGGGCGGGGGGGTGCCTCAGGGTGGGGAGGTGCCGCAGGGGGGCGCCTCAGGGCGGGGGCTCGGGGATGGGGGGGGACGGGGCGGCGCAAGGTGGAAGTTTCACCTAGGGCGCGAAACATCCTTCCACTGGCCCTGGTTACAGTTAAGGCTCAGATGGATATCCCCTTGCCTTTTATTTTTAACTTGTATGCCACTTCTCAAAAAATGTTCTGTTTGGACAGAGATATACCGTATAGCGGAGAAGCAAATGGACACTGCGGGGACTTCACACCTGACTCATGCACCCATCTAGAAAATTACAAGTCAGCTCCAGTGTGTGTTTTTAATTTGTAATTGCTAAATCTCCCATTCCTGTTCTGAGCTCCTCATGGGTGGGCCTCCATGGAAGGCACCAGGGTTCCACACTGGTGCACGTATCTGCCCATGCAGATCCATTGCACGACTGGGGTGTAAGGGCCAATCCTGAGCCCCACATGGGGAGACCTGGGGCTAAGCACGCCTGGAAGTTAAAGAGTAGGGGCTTAATGTATCTACTCTTCTGCAACATCTATTAACGTTAATGAGAAATACATTCACACAGTGATGGGATAACATACATTTCCAACTGACATGGTCCTCCCTAACGCTAATGAAGGATAGTTGGAGAACAAACCAGAATTGGCAAAAGATGGGCCAGCCCAGTGGCTTCCCTCCTGCTCAGGCCAGGGTTAAGTGGAGCACATGTGTCAGTATTTGCGGGAGTGCAGGCTTTAGGGACAGCCACGCTGCATTTCCATTGCATGTCTCCTCCTAAAAGAAATTGGCCAAAGTTCCCAACAGCGATGCACCGGGATCCCTCCCACCCTACCCCTTCACCCACTGCCAAAATGCAGCCACCTCTGGGGGCGGGCCACAGCACTGGCGCTGCACGCCCACTACCCTGGAGAGCACGTTACCCCACTGAAACTCCCCGGGGGGAGTTCTGCCCCACATGTCCCTGCGCGTGCTCCCTTGTGACGTGCTGGGGCGGGGGAGGGGGACCCAGCACGAGCCCAGGACTCACCTCCCAGGGGGGAGCAGCCGGTCGGGCGGCATGGCTCAGGCGCGCGCGCGCGCTGGAGGGGCTGCAGCGCGCCCCGGGACAGGCAGCGCGAAGGACGCTGTTAGCCCGCAGCTCCCATAGCAACCGGCAGCCCCGCCCGCCCATGCGTCATAATGCCAGCCTTGTCCCCTCCGCCCCCCGCGCAGGGCGTCCCCGCCTGGCGCGCGCTGCTGCTGCGGGGCGGGCTGGGTCCAGCCTGTGTGGGCAGCTGCGCCCCATCCCCGCTTCCCTGCGCTCCGTTCCGCACCCGCCGGTCCCTCCGCCTCATCCCCCCCTCTGGGCCCCAGTTCCCTGCACCCCCTCGTCTAGTCTGCAGCCCTGCTCCTTGCACCCCCCATCCGCAGCCCTCCGTCCCCTGCACGTCATCCTCGCAATGTGCATGATCCCCAATTCCCTGCACCCCCTCGTCTAGTCTGCAGCCCTGCTCCTTGCACCCCTCATCCGCAGCCCTCCGTCCCCTGCACGTCATCCCCGCAATGTGCATGCTCCCCAATTCCCTGCTCGAGTTCCCTGCGCCCCCCTCACCCCCTATTCTGCGTTCCTAACTCCGCGTGAAAGATTGGCACTCACCATGGTTTGGGATGTTGCTCCTGTCCTCTCCGCCCTGGAGCAAGGTGGGGCCCAGTTTGCTGCAAAGCTTTAGAAAGTGGGGGTGCGGAGGGAGGGGAAAAAAGAGCAGCATAGCTTTTTGCCCTGTGCGGTCCCCTGGAAAGGAGAGCCCCTTAAGGTATGTGTACACTAAATGTAATACGGTGTGGTTCTCAGAGTCCTGGAATTCACAATGCAAAATGCACTGCTCTGAGCAACAGGCTTCCCCTAACTCCCACCCCATTCCCGATTTTGATTTGTGCAAGCAAGTTGGGTCTTTACATTGTTTTATTTTTGAGTGCAGTTATTTTTTGCACATAATTCTACATTTCTAAATTCAACTTTCATAATAAAGGAATTGCACTACAGTACTTGTATTAGGTGAACTGAAAAATACTACTTCATTTGTTTCTATGTTTACAGGGCAAATATTTGTAATAAAAATAAATATAAAGTGAGCACTGCGCGCTTTGTATTCTGTGTTGTAATTGAAATCAAATCCATATATTTGAAAATGTAGAAAACATCCAAAATATTTAAATAAATGGTATTCTATTATTGTTTAACAGCACGATTGTGATTAATTTTTTCAATCGCGTGACAGTCCTACTACATATCAAATATCTTCATCAGAATGGGCAGCGGTGCGTAGGCGGATCCAGGTCCAAAAGAAGAGATATCCTGATGCCACCAAACAGGATGTCTCCTGTGAGCTCTTCACTGCTTCTCCTAACAGGAGTGCCATTTGCATGGTAGCTGCTTCCAGCTAGCACTTGCTTATGGTGGTAACCTGAGTTAGCCAGACTGTAGGCCAATTATTACTTTAGTTCATCTGATCACTCCTGCTTTGGCAGAGGTACATGCCCCATTGCATTAGGCGGGGGTCACAGTCATTGTGCTTTTGTATGGCAGGACAAAATGTAGTCTGCTCATCCATATTGTTGCTGCTATTGCTGTATTTTTGTGCCCTCCGAAAGCAAGCCTTAACACTAACATGGGTGGCCAAATTCTATGCTGAGGAACTTTTGCAAATATTTCTTTTTCATTTTTGGTTTTTAAAATAGACAATTCAAGATGGGAAATGCCAACTTGCTTAATTTGAAATGTAATTTAAAGCCAAAATACAGGAGATCCAATTAAGCGTGCACGCACACACACACACACACACACACAAAAAGAATGAGACCTTCAAATTAATACATTACGGGAACTTTTGAGATTTGTATTCTATTCTAAGTGGGGCATAACCCCCTTTTATAGTGACTGTCTCATTCCCTCAGACCATGCAGTCTGATTGCCCTATATCCTGTCATGCTCTTGAGAATGATGCTGGGGACTCATGATTCTAAGGGGAAAATATCCCTTTTCAGCAGCTGTAGAATACACAATTAGGTATTTCACAGCATCTTTACCCCAAGAGGGAAGTCTGTCTCTGCCTAGACAGTTGCCACTATGACATTAGGAACTCCCCTGACCACACTCCCAAGACAGGACGAGATCAAAATCTTGCATGAGAAACTCTCAACAACATATGCCATGAGGCTCGACATACCTGAATAAAAAAATCATCAGAAAGAATTATACAGGAATTGGGAGCCTGATGCTACCAGGCTTGTAGGGGTACCATTAGAAACAACTAAATATCAAGGCTTTAAAATTGAGATACCCATGAAAATGCATTCACAGAAAAATGTCTAAGGAAGTTTCGTTTTAATGACTCACAAAGCTGGATTTGAATGAAAAACCCATGTTTACAGACGAAAACAAATGTTGATATTAAAGAATCATCATGTTTTCCATAACTGCCCCTCCCCTTTCTAATAGGATAGCACAGAATGACATGAAATATAAAATGGAAAATTATTAATGGCAAGATTAAGAGCTTTGATAGCGATGTTTTTAATGATTTGTAATTCTGTATAGTGAAGAAGTACAGATGAGGTAACACTTAGGCCAAGTCTTTGCTGGCATAAATGTGGCTTTGCCAATTCTTCTTTTACATAGAATTGCAAATCTGCTTAAAATGTTATTGCTGAGAGAACAAAGGTAACATGTTGTGTTGGAAGATGTAAGTAATAGATACACAAATGTGTAATGAGAAATAAAAAACACCCTTTTCCTGGGAAGGCCCTGGGCAAGGTGACACAAAAACAACATGAGCTAGAAACTGCAAACTCATCGGGAAGTATTTAGAAATTGGGTAACTGAAGCTTGTGTATGCATAATATATGAGTTACCTAAAATCCAAACAGTTGACATGCTAAAACCACTTGGATAAAGATTAAGTAATCTGTAATGTGGAAATGCATAAATGACCTAACTGAACATGGGCCCAAACTTGAGAGACACTGGACCAGAAAATGGAAGTATGGGATTGCCGGACCAGGCCAAGAGATCAGAGAGGGTGACGACTATCATGGCAGAATGTGGCAACTTGGACTCATTTACCAATTCTAGCCTGTCTGTTATTATATGTCTGGTATAAATGTATCTCCAGACACTATCAGTGACAATAATTCTGTCGGCAATTGTATAAATAAAGGTGAAAATAGATTAAGCCTAAATTAAATAGACTTGTGACTCCGTTTCCCAACTTTTTACCCCCAACAGGCTCTTCTTGGTTGACAGCTCAGTTTTGGAGATGAGCCAAGTAGGATGTAGGAGGCAGAGAGACTGAAACATAAATGGTGCAGAGCCTTGACTATGCCACGAAGATCTGTGACTGGAAAAAACCAGCTTCCATAGATGGAGGGATCAATCAGCCCGAGGAGGTGAAGAACTTGGGATCAAGACACAGGGAAAATCAGATCCCGATCTACTTCGATCTCGCTGAACTGCCATTGAGGTAGCGCTCAATGGAGCAGGCAAAGCTGCTGTATGCTACCTTTGTGCTCATCTGACCTGCAGAGCTAGGAAGAGCCATTTTAACCCAGGTCATAAGTCAGGGCAGCCTCAAAGCTGCTCTAACCTGCACTAATTTGTAACAACTCCCAAAGGTCTGTTAAGCTGTCAAGGAATCACTAGAGTTCTGCACACTTTAGCCACACCCCCTTCCTCCCAGCACACCTCTTTACACTACGGGGGGCCAGGAGAGATTTGTGTAAAGCGGGGTGTGCCAGCTGGGGACTTCCCCACTCCAGGTGAATTTTCAGCTGCCCCATTTAGGGCAGTTTACAGCCCCGTTGGTACTGCTGTAGGGACACAAAAGGCCAAATCAAAGGCTAGGATCTGCCCTTGACTGTGGTCAACAAAAGGAAAACTGCAACGGATGGAGCAAACTCAAGTGTTCTCCAAAGAGTTACACCAGGAATGAATTTGATCCATCGACGGACCAGGATGCAGGAAGTATCATTTTGTTCAGTACATAACAGCAGATTCTGATAGTTAGATGATGAGAAATAAATGAAGTTTTAGTTCCTAAACAGCACTATGTCAATAAAATATTAATTTGTAAGAAGGGAATCCTGTTTTATCCATGCTAAGTGTTAACCTCAATGACTCAGATAGCATCCGTGCCTCATATTATGGCGGGCAAAGCTCCCATTACCAATATGCTCACTTTGCACAGCAGCAGGAGGAGCTAATTACTCATGAAAAGATTTTGCTGCAGAACAGCTGCTTGGAATTTAAATATAAGAGCTTTTGAGTGTTTTGTTCAGGGCTGGTGAAAGGCACCAGGCTGACAGCAACTGGAGAAGTTCTCTCTACAAGACAGGAGCAGCACACTGCTAGCAGTCTCAATATACCAGCATGCTGCATTTGTATAGTGACTTTCATCCATGGATCCCAAAGCACTAGAACTATGAAGGTGGCATTGCATATTGTCAGAAATATTATGCAGATGGGGGAAACCGAGGCACGAAGAGTGATATTCTGGCCATATTGACCTCAGTGGGAGCTGGTTTGGAGCCTAGTATGATTTTCATTGGTACTACTTGCTGTTCTGTATTACACTGAGCATGTTTGTGACTTAAACCTGTTGCTCCTCCAATCATTATCTTCCCAAGGTTAATTGCTACTATACTCTTTCATCTAGTTCCATGTTCCTGCAAGAGTCTTCCTTTTGTTGTATGCTCTTCTCCATACCAGCTTGCAAGCCTGATGCATAGTGCAAAGACACAAGCCTAGCGTGTGGCTAATTGTAATGTCCATCTGGGTCATAAATCATGTTAAAATCAGCCACATGTTACCTTGCAGGAGCGTGAGATCACTTTAGCCTGGCTAATGAATGTATTAGTCTTGGTAGAGTTAAATAGCACATTGTGCTTAGCCCACACCTGGCACTGTAGGGATGGAGGAGCTCCTGCACGTCTGAGCACTACCCATATCACTCCTCCAGACTCACGAGGGAGCAGAGAACCTCACAGGAGCAAATGAGTGGGGATTGGGTAGGGAAGGGTCTGGACCGAGCCCTATCTCCTCCCCGTCACAACCTGGCCACTGGAGCTGGATGGGTGTATAGGGTTGGGGAAACATCATAAAGGGGTGTCTCAAATTACTGCCTCTC